GTGCTGGCCATAGATACTGCTGTTACTCGATGGGGGGGCAGGGAAAGCCTACGGCGGGGCTTAGCTTTTTTGGGGGATTTGCTTTTTTACTTCTCTAAGGGCCTACTCACACTAGGGCCTTACCGCAAAGTAGGTAAAATTTGACTGGGCGAGTCGCATGAGGCAGGGAAAGTGCCAAAAGCAGCAAACTGAGTATCAAATGTCAGCGGCCTGGCGGGCCGCGGGGAAGGGCATTTTGCTACCACGACTGGAGGTGATAGAATTTTTTTTCCCTTCAGTTCGAGATTTTGTGAAAGGAAATTTGAAACGAACTTTGTTGAAAAAAAAAAAAAGTTGAAGGATTTGGGCCTCGCGCTGTGTGACCACATGAGTCACCATTTTGGCATTTTGGCAATGTGACCACGGAAGAAAGTCCCGCTCGTGTCTTTTGTGATTTGCTGCCGCTACGTGACCGGGCGGGGTGGCGTTTCAGTAACATGGGGATAGGAAACTCCGCAGATTTTGCTGCTATGCCACCGCTGTGCAACTTCTTTTTTTGGGCGGTGGACGGAACTGGGGGCATATACATCCTGCTCCGGGAGATTGGTGTCAAGTTCCCATGCAAACCGGGGAATAGAGAGGGTCGTGGGCCTTTTGGGCCCGCGGTTCTCGGCTGCGTCTTCGAGTAGCTTAGTGTGTCTGTAGTCCAAGTCTTCAAGTAGCTTATAGAGCGTCGAGAGGCCGGGGCAGTGCGTACACTGAATGGTTACTATATGTTCCACGCGTGCATTGCCCCAGTACAGTTTGCGGTACCGACGCTGGCCCTGTAGGCACGAAGGCCTGGTAATGCGCAATGCCGGGGTAGGCACGCGGGCGTGGGCCTGGTACCGCGCGTGGTGCACCACGGGACTGGTACGACGGTTCAACTTCTAAGAAAAAACGATCAGCAGACGATCGGGACCGTCGCGCAGCAAAAGATAGGAGGGCCCCGGTCATCTGCTTGTCACAGGCAGGAAATTAGCAATAGTTATATATGTAGTGACTACCCAAAATTATACAAAATCATCCAGAATTTGTCCAAATTATCCAAAATCATCCAAAATTTGTCCAAAATTATCCAAAATCATCCAAAATTATCCGAAATCATCTAAAATTTGTCAAAAAGAAATGAAATTTATCCAAAATTTGTCCAAAGTCATGCAAAATCATCGAAAATCATCCAAAAATCATCCAAAGATCATCCAAACTTTCCAAAGTAATCCGAAGTAATCCAAAATTTGTCCAAATCATCCAAAATCAATGTGGTTACCAGTGCCTCAGCTTCCAGGTACTTCTCTTCAAGCCTCCTCTTCCCACTACTGATGTTGGCTGCTACTGTGTCCATACCGAGCTCCTCAACATGCAACCTGAAACAAAAACAGACACATTAACATACATGCACATACGGTCTTGTTGTCACTCACTTATTTCGGTTACATTTTTTCAACTTTATTTTTGGCATTTTCAATGACAATTCTTTTTTCTTGTTCAGGGAAAGAACAGGAGGCCAAAGATCGGCCAGGAAAGTAGCTCTAGAGCTGTATGATGACATCAAGGCAGCCGCGTTTTGCGCTGAAAAAGGGGAACATGGCCCTTTCACATCAAGGCAGCCCGCGTTTTCGGATGACGAGGAACATCGCCTTTTCCTGTGTGTCTTTTTAACGGAGAACGGGGGAATTAAACTCCCGTTGAATCCCGTTGAATTCGAAAAACTCCCGTTGAATTACCGTTAAACGCAGAAATGGGCCTCTCCCGCGCTTTCGGAAAAACGGAATTGATGCGCAGGGTCCGGAACACGTGGCCCTACGCAAAAAAAAGAAAACCCCAAAAACAAAACCCTAAAAAAAAAAAAACATTTCCCCAACCCCTGAAGCACCTCTTATACCACCGAATTAGACCAACACCGACCGGCCTGCCACCCGCCACTCACCAACCCCCCGGCACCAGACCCCAAACCTACCCGGAAGCCCTCTAAGCCATCCGCCCCCACATCCCCCAACCCCCAAGGCCCCAGTTGTGTGTGTAGGTGTGCTGTGTGCGCGCGTATGTGTGTATGTGTGTGCCTGCGTGTGAGAGTGTGTCTGTGCATGAATATGTATGTATGCGCGTGTGTTTGTGTATGTGTGTGTTTGTAAGTGTGTGTGTGTGTGTGTGCCTGTGCATGATTGTTGGCGTGTGTGTGTGTGTGTGTGTGTGTGTGTGTGTGTGTGCATGTGTGTGTCTCTGTGTTTGTGTGTTGTGTCTGTGTGTGTGCGTGCGTGTCTGTTTTTCCTTTTCTTATTTGCTTTTATGTTTTATGTTTGGGTAAGGTCGTGCAGTACAGATTCGCTAGGACGGGTTCGTTTGGGGTCTCTGACAGCAGAAAATAGGGTCCCGTCGCAGTCGTCCCTAAGACCGGTTGTAGGGCCTAAGACCGGTCGTAGGGCAAGTTATCTCGTCACGGTCTCTGCAACTTAGTATAGGGGGCCGTTCATTGTTTCCCTTTTGAGGGATAGAGTTTTTTCCCGTTGAAAACTGGGGGCGGGCGATATGAGTTTGGGCGGGCGATTTGGGTCTGTTTTGTTTTTTTTTCCCTCTTCTACTGCATCTTCCCAGAAATACAGTATCGAAGCATTCTGCTGTTTGTTACCAAGTAACGAAATCTAGAACAGACTGCCCTGCCTCGTTGGCAGGGCTTACTAAAAAAAGAAAACAAAAGAAAAAACGTACTTACCTTTGCCACGACAGCTGACTCCACTCTGACCAAATGTGCAAAATGAGCATGAATCTTCTGGTAGAACATAGGTAGATACACTGCTAGTAGTTTAGAGCTTGAAATGCCCTTTTTCCTGGCCGCGTGTGGGGCGGTACAGCCATCAGTAGCTTGCTATTCGTTTTTCAGGTCCCCCCCCCCCCCTCTTGCGATCCAAGAATCTGGGCTCCGTCCAGCAGCCTAACTCAGTTGTTTAGGCACACAAGGCATTCAGGAGATTGTGGGTTCAATCCCCGCCTATGGCACTCCAACCAACTGAGATAGTCAGCTGGATCCTCCTAGTCTGTATCAGTAAGGTCTTCAGCCAACACAGGTGTGAGTGCGCGTGTGAGTGGCTTGCGTGTGGTGTGTGCGACAGTGTTGGCTTAAGACACAACCATCCAGAAGGCTGCCCATCCCCCACTTCATATGATCACTGTGTACTCAGTGACTGGCCTCTACAAAATCATGGGCTTCATAAAATGAAAAAAAAAAAAAAAAAAAAAGACCTTTGACAAGCTTACTGTCTAGAACATAAATCATGCTACCCGAATGGCTGCATCCCCGAGTCAAACGCGGTATAAAAGTTGTTGTACATCTTTTTTTTTTTTTTATAGAAAAAAACATCATTCCATTATATGCCAGAAAACGGGTCTGGCGTCCCTTACATATAACCCGCAGCCATACAGGGCTGGGAAAAGCACTCCCGACCAATCCCATCCCTGACTGCAGCCAAGAATTCAGGCAATGTTGCTCAAACCCTAGCTGCCACTAACTAGTCATTTGAAAGCAGACGCAGTTCAGAAAAAAAATTGAATCTAGCACTATTAAACTTAGTATCTCCTAATTACTCATTAATCCTAATACGATAATAATTACAATTCCTTAATTAATCACCAACCCTAATACGCTAATTAGACAAATGTAATTACGATTCCCCTACAGAAATACTACTTCTATTTTCATTTTTCTTCCTCCCTGTCTAATTCCTATTCCCCTGTGTTCTAATTAATATGATAATATCCCCTAATTACTCCACAATCACCGTCTGTCTAAACTAAACTAACCCAGCATATAAAACCAATTAAAACCAAACAAACTTTCCTTCCCCCTATCAGATTACCATTCCCCTGTGTTCTGATTAGTATCCCCTAAATTTCCACGACCGCCACCAGCTCCGTAATTATGTATCTCCAATTCAACAGGCGGCAAGAAAGTAACCCAAATTACAATATGTCAACAAAACCGATCCGATTATCATTTTCTCCTTCCCCCTACCTAAGCCAAGAAGTAGAGGCTATACACCTAATTAGCTAGAAACACAAACGACGACAAAACCGTGTGAAGCCGACTGTTGCAATCCAAATCCTTCCACCGATGAACAGAACGCCGGCGACGTAACTAAAACAGGGTCACCAACCTGTGGGCTCACGTGCAATTCTACTCAACTCCAAAAAGCGGGCCAAAACATCTCATCCAGCAGCACCAACGCGCCAATAGCAAGGGAGGAGCGTAATCAGCCGATCCGTCGTCCCAAACACAGGCACAGCACCCCAAATGTCGATGCCACAAACACCCCAACCTTCCATTCCACCATCGATCAGGCATACACCAAGCACTTCAATCAGCATCACCAAGCTCAGTCGAAATCCTCTCCCAACTCTTGGGTTCCGTGTCTGAAACCAGGGGACTGCGCCCCTGATTGGTTGATAATTCTGGTACAACAGCGACGTCCAGATCCCGCCCGCTGACTGTCCCCACATCACTCTCCTATCCCTCCACAGTCAACCAGGATTACTGAGCCCTGTCAGCCGGGACTGGCCCATGGCAGGAGCATTGCAGTGCCCCTCTGCACACGTCCCCCGTAGCGCCCTCGCGCCTTCCTCCTCCACGCGCCGCCACCCCACCAACAAGTTCTGGCACAGCGCCGCCTTCGTTGCGGCGACACCAACGCGATCCCCCGTTGCCCAGACATCGCCCCCCCTGGCGGCACGCGTTTGCGCTGCGTTACCGCAGTGCTAACGCGCACCAGTTGTTGTACATCTTTGAAATGTCTATAACCCTATATTTTTAGCTTGTTTTCTGTTTTTTTTTTTTAGCCCTAAAAATATCTCTGTGTAACCAACAACAAAAAAAATCATTTCATCTGTTTTTTTTTTTTTTCATTGTCTTTATGTTTTTGATTTTTTAATATATTGCAATAACCCATGCCATATGTATCGTGGAAAGACTGAGGGCCAACTCGGCCGCCCTCAGCCCAGGCCGAAAACAGGGGCAAAAGACCCCACAGTGCCCACACGAATATTCAGGGCCTGGACGAGAGACAGTTGACTTTTGTCAACTGCCTTGACCTCAACAGTCAAAGTCCAAAGGTACCCAGTCCAGGCCGCCGGTCAAGCACACACACTTGTTTGTATGCAGGTACCCAGACAGCATAAGGTCCAAGGGGAATGTCTGCAACTGTACGATCCAGGCCTTCGGCTGTGACTCAATCTGGACGACTGAGGGAAGGAGACCCGAGGCCAGAGAGCCTCACCAAATGCTACTTAAAGACTGGCCTCGCGGTGGTCAGCATTCAGTCTTGCTATGCTGGTTCAACGCTGGCTTGACTTTGACTTGATGCTGGCATTATGCTAGCGCGACGCTGGCTAGACGCTGGCTGTGCATCAGAGCTGCAGACGACGACACGTGGGAGAGGCAGCATGCTGTCATTGTATGCCAGATATGCTGATGTGGTGCTGCCTGTGGTCTTCATGGCATGGTGATGTGGCGCTGCCTCTGGTATACGTGGCATGCTGACGCGGCGCTGCCTCTGGTATATGTGGCGCTGCCTCTGGTATATGTGGCGCTGCCTCTGGTATATGTGGCGCTGCCTATGGTCTACGTGGCATACTGATGTGGCGCTGCCTTTGGTCTACATGGCATGTTGACGTGGCGCTGCCTCTGGTGTATGTGGCGCTGCTCTTGGTCTACGTGGTGCTACTATTGGTCTTCATTGCTGATGGCGTTGCCACCTGTCTTGACTGCTGACGTGGCATTGTCCACGCTGTCTACATGAGGTGACTGATTGCGAGGGAAGAGGAAGATCGGGACTGTGGAGAGATCGTGAATACGTACCTGGTTGTCTTCATGTTGACATTGCTCCAGTGCTGATGAGGGACTAATTAGACGTGCCACATGGCACATTGAGGTTACTTCAGATACTCGTTCAGACTGTCAATTATTGAGGTGGTGATGGAGGAGGGAGCCCGAAGCAGGAGTGGGCATTGTATTTATTTCCTCTCCTCTGTCTAATCTCCCTCCTCTCTCCTTCGTCTGCGTATGAATATCTCGTCTCATTCTGTCTGGACACGATCTTGATTGTTGGTAATCATCAGCCGTTGACATTCATCTGGACTTGCATTGTTGATAACTGTGTTCACGATCTGGGTTCATTGCAATATAGTAAAAGCTCAAAAAAGAAAAAGAAAAATATGAGGTTGTAGAGCTCAAAAAGATCTACAACCCTTTTTTTTTCTTTTTTTTTTTGATTATTTTTAGCCTGCAAAAAAAATCATCGCGGGTCCCGTTGTAACCCGTCTAACGGGCTTTTCAACGGGATTCAACGCGCGTTGAATGTTTCAAGGCCGAACCCGCGTTGAATTGATTTTCGGACACACAGGCCTTTTCTCTTCTAACACTGTCAATAGGGGGACATCGTTACAATGTGTACGGGCTGGCGCGGTGGTAAACCCTTCTTGCTCGAGAAGTAAACTACTAATCACTGCTACGATCTCAGCGTCTCTCGACCATAACGGAGGGACAGGTGAAAAAACTTCGCGCAGTAATATCAAGGACGCTGGATCCGATTTTCCCACCTTGTATAAACTAAACAGCTGAGGACACGTACCTACCTTGCACGAGTCCTTCCCGACATCAGTTCAAATTGGAATGCTACAGAGAGAGAAGATTAGCATGCCCCGGCGCAAGGATGACACACATACATAAAGAAATGGCCCCGAAAAAAAAAGCGAAAAAAAAAAAAACTACCTTGCGGGTACTTGTGGTTCCGGTTTCCCAAAAGAGAGAAAGAAAGGAAAAAAAAGATAGGTGTCCTCGGCAGGGGCCATGGAGACCTATCTACCTCGGCAGGGGCCGAGGACACCTATCAACCTCGCAGGTACTTGGTGGTTTATGGTTTCCACCATTTATCGTTGATTACCCAAATCGCCGATTTTCGGATGTTATCAAAATAAATGTGGCAGAGTCTCGCCAGTGCTTCCTTCGTTCGTGCCTCGGCCAATCCAATCATCAGCCGCGATGACATGATATTATATGCGACATTTCTTAGGAGGCCGTCATCTGTTAACTTTGTGGGCCCTTCTGCCGATTGTAAGGGAAGGCTGCCTCTTTCAATGAGCATGTTTCTTGGGTGCTGGTTTAAAACAACAACTAGCCCTTAATGGCATATTAGCTTTGTTCTTTACAACATTAATAATAATATGTGGATTCCACAGAATGTACATTAATAATAATATGTGGATTCCACAGACTGTCGAGGGTTCAGCCTCCTAACAAGTCGGTGCAACCCCGATGCAACAGTCTGTCACGAACCACCTTTGTTCTCTTTCGCTCAAGGTTTTGTTCAGTTTGGTACTTTGGCCTTTTCCCTTCCTGTCTTCTGCTGCTTGTCTGCCCACCCACTTCCCCCGTCCCTCCAGCCTATGTGTGCCTTGGGCCCTCTTATCGCCCAACGCCTCGTTGACTTCCCGCGTTTTACCTCAAAGCCTTTAGACTTGCCGCCTTACCCTTTCATGCTGCTTCGCTGGAGAGTTACCTGCTTGTTGCCTCACTGCATTTGCCTTGCTGTTTTTCATTGCCTTGCTAGCCTTGCGGTTTTATGCCCCGCCGCTTCTGCTTTGCTGCCTTTTCCCTCGCTGCCTCGTGCTGTTTGTCCAAATCACTTTTGTGAAATCGTCTGGGAAATGAAATGCTTCTTTCTGGCTCCTTGTGTATGCCTTTCGTTTTGGCTTGGCGTGTATTGCAGACCATCCCTTTTGAGTATTTACCATACTTGCAAGCGGACCGGACCGGACGAGCGTCCGGTCCGGTCCGCTTTGCCGCGTGCGGCACCGTTCCCCCGGACTGGACGGACCCGGACCGGACGGGGCCGTTTTTTTGGGGGGGCGTGGGGGGTGGGGGGTAACTGGTCGTCGGGCGCACAGTCGTGCGCTGCGCGGGTCCGGCCCAGTGGTCCGCCGCACGTGCGGAACCGCGTGGATGGCGTCCGCTTGCAAGTATGGTATTTACTATTTAGTGTACGCAGTACTATGCACTTTTCAGCTCAGTTCGTCACAATACCATCATGGAGGTTACGTTCCCCATCTCTCTCTCTCTCTCTCTCTCACACACACACACACACACACACACACACACACACACACACACACACAGAAGCAGAGGATCACAACACATCACGGCTGAACATCTTGCCCTAACCACATGGTGGTCCGGATAGTTCAGATAGATAGGCCAAGCTGGTCCAGATGGTTATCGAGATCTGTAAAACCTTGAATCTCATGGTTCCAACATCCATCACTGACTACCTACACCTGCTGCAGGCATGGTACAACCATAAAAACATTTACCGGAAAGACCCAAAAAAAAAAAAAAAAACACAACTGGCATAAACCATGGTACCCGGACACCGGACACTTCCGGACTGTCTTCCGGACCAGTGTCTGGACCGGTCCGGACTGTCCGGTGATCCGGACATTACCGGACATTACCGGACACCCGGACATCACCGGACCCGGACAGTCCTAACTGGTGCCAGGGGTGCGCAAATGTCTGGACCGAAAAAAAAAAAAAAAGGGGAAAAGGGGGGGGGGGGGGGGGGGGGGGGGGCGGGGGTGTTAGCAGGCACTTACCTGCTTTGCACTTTGTAGTTCAGGCAGCAGAGCACGTGTCTTGCAGAAAATCAACAAGCACATTTAACTAGCAGACATGCAGAGCTGCAAACAGTGCAAAGCAGGCACAAGACTAAAGAGACCGAATTTATTTTTGAAAAAAGTATGATTAACTTTGAACTTTGAACTTTGGATTTAGTCATTTAAGTTCATAACTTCATATATAACTTAAAAGTTCAAACTTTGCAGTTCAATTCAGAACGTCAGAGTCTTCAGACTGTCAGCACTGTCAGTGTCTCTCTCTCTCTCTCTCTCTCTCTCTCTCTCTCTCTCTCTCTCTCTCTCTCTCTCTCATCCTCATCTTTCTCTCTCTCTCTCTCATCCTCATCTCTCTCTCTCTCTCTCTCACACACACACACACACACCTGTCTCTTATACATTGCTCCAGTGCTGATGAGGGACTAATTAGACGTGCCACATGGCACATTGAGGTTACTTCAGATACTCGTTCAGACTGTCAATTATTGAGGT